AAAAAATTCATGTAAGCTATAATGCGTGAACTTGTACTACTAAACGGTGTAGATGTGATAATTACCCGAATAATGTTCCCGTTCACAGTTTCGTTCTGGTTATCTTTCAGCTCGTTGAAATACGTATAAACTATGAATGCTGAGATTGAGCAGATAGCTAAACACGTTATTGTAAAGTTTAGAGGACATTACCCAGATAAGGACTTACTTGCTGAAAGTAACATAACGCAATGGGCAAGAGCGCCAAATGGAGTGAAGATGGTGCATATTGCGAAGCAAATAGCTAACAGGCTACTTGCTATCGCACATGACAGCAGTATTAGCGTGGCCAATTCAAAGTCTGAAAAAAAATTTGAGCATATGAACCGCGTACTTTTTAGAAGTCGCTTGTGATCATGATATAAAAACCTTCGCCGAAATTCTTTAACCTTTTGAAAGGTACATGATTTTCTGCTGGGAGACGATTAAATCATGCAATGCGACAGCTTTCCAATGTTCAATTACTAGGGAAGTCGTTCCAGTTGTACCATAGTCAGTCACTATTGATTATTGCCCCCGCACTCAATTAGATAAGAGAGGAAGCACTTAAAGAAACCATAGAGTTAATCCCGAGCTTGCTACTGTTAATTCACACATGATACAAAGGGTCATGAGCATGGCTGTGAAAACTTTGATTTTTTTCACAGCATAAAGGTAAAGCCTGAGTTGACTTAATTGATCATGTTTTGTTTTATAACTCAGTAACTGGTAATTCCACTAAACGCCTGCACTTCTCGGAACAAGATTAAGTTTTTTTTTTGTTTGAAGTGAGAAGATGCAGCAGGGCTCCTTTCAAGAAAAGAATTACCGGAAGTGTTGTTAAATGAATTCAAAAAGAGGTAGAGGAAAAATATAAATAAAAAAAGGAGGAAAAATAAAAACATAGCTATAGCTAATTACGAGAAATGTTTCTAGATCAGAAAAAGGTAAATTCAACTTCTCACTAGCTCAAGTATTTTGCAAAATCTGAGCTCAAAACTCTATTTGTTTATATTGCAGAATTAGAAATCTCAACAACATGCGATATTTTCTAAAAATCTCACCTCCATATTGTGATTTGTATTCGATTTTGGTAGCATACCTGGGTGCAGCCGAACGTAGATAACATACATCAGCATAAGAATCGTCTATAACAAGGACAAATGTTTTGCTACACAAATAGTAGAACGTAATCTAGTAATCTTACCTGTGCCATAAACGCCGAACTCAGGCTCAAAACAGTACCGTATTAAACCATAGTAACGAGTGCCTTTTAAATGCTCATGATCCGTTATGAATCGAAAACTAACTGAGAATAAACAAGCAGTGATGATGGAGATGGCTAAGATGGCGAGCATTGACGAGCTGATTAGGAAGATAAACCGAGACTTTGATGCGATGCTCATCTCTGTAATTTTTTGATAAGAGACCTTGCTAATTAAATAAATGGGCGACTCGAGAAGGTAATACGTGCGAGGATGTTCTCGATGTGTTCCCTATACTTCTCCGTCATGGGATATTTGAAAAAGACTCGTTTGGTTTTAAAAGCAATTTTGGTTGGACACAAGTAGATTAGAATTTTTTGAAAAGGCGAAGAGCATCTGACAGGTTCGAGACTGCAACTAATATTAAGCTTTAATATTATTAAATATATATATATATTTATATGATTGAATTTCAGGTGTTTTGCTTATTATATGTAATAACACAATAAAGTAAGCAAAACATTTAGAAATGTTTCAACTATCTCACTCAAACATCAAAGCCCTGGTGTAAAGCTAGTGCAGGGCGGGATTGAATTCGATCACTCGAAAGATTTCTCTTTTATCTCTACGGAATTGCCGACATCTGCCGATTAAGTCGAGCGGTGTTGGAATAGTGCCAAGGGCTAATTCACGGATCTCCCAAGAAATCTCAGACGAATTTCTCAGACGAACTGCTAGATTCTGTAGAGCCCTATGTTCATTTTTTGCTGCAAATTTCTCTCGATACGTGAACTCATTGAACCTCTCGATAGCATTACTACTTTCGAGAAAAATTCTCATGTACACATGTACAATTCACAGGGCCTAAACTCAACGTAACGCGTTAATCAAATTTTTTAGTGTTTGAAGTTATCTTTGTTCACTTAAACTTTTAATCTTATAAATTATGCTGTCAGATTCTCCACGAGATGTTTCTTTTAATTTTAGCATGTGAGTAAGAAAAGCAGTTTTTGAGTAATCGACAAAACAAAGAAGTTATGTTCAATCATATACACATATATCTAGATTGATTAAATTGAACTTTCCATTAACGTTTGTTACATATGGAGATGTAGTCAAATACCTGCACAATCTACTGTGGTGAATCTGTATTCCTTGTCATTAAAGGGAACGAAGTTGTTGTAAACTTCTCAGTACAACAGCTCTTGTGATACGCTCTTATGCGTATGATCCAGTCCCAGTTGATTTCCGAGTTATACTTAGCGAAATTTAACACAATATTAAAACTTCCAAATTGTAAACTAGGTTTTCGTTTCGCTACATCGTCAATTGCCAGTTGTCCACACTTTGCAACTCATAATTTTTTAGTTTATTCAAACGACTTCAGCAAATGTCATAGTTGCTAGTTCTTATGGGAATTTGCTCATTTGTTTTTAAAAGCAATGCAATGAACCTCTTTGATGAACTTTTGCTATCGGGAATAGGAACTTCAATGGACCAGGATGAGTAAAGCAAATTCCAGCCTTAGATCATCCATTTAACCACATGCATGGTGTTTCCTCTTTTCTATCTAAGCTTCCTATCCTCGTTTGATGTCGTTTCTACCTAAACTACAAACATCAGGCAGATTTTTTTCGGGTGTTTGTAGTGCAATTTTTGCTTTAGAAATTTCTGGTTTTAGAAAGCTTTGGCTGGTCCTATTTCTTCCTGGTAGTTATGAAGCGTATAAATTAATTCAGAAAGTAAAAATATAGTGTAGGAAATAAGGAAAATAAGGACCTGCTGAAAAATGAATTTCGTGACTTTCTCTCGGAGGCAGAACGTTGATTTTTCAGCTTGTATGTCATTATTTGAGATTACTTTGCCTCAGCTATCAGTTGTTGCAAGGTCGTTTTTCTAATTTCCTATCTTAAATAGAGGAGTTTAAGTGAAAATGTATGTTGGCAAAGCTATGGCCACAGGCTAAACAGTCTTCGAAATGTACTTAAAAATTTTTCTATTCAATGAACTCGAAAGTGCATAATCAAATGTAAATTCAATAGCGTGGTCTTGCTTAGTCCAGGATGGTAACTTTGTACTGTGCAAGCATAAATAAGGCCAATCCCTTATTTCTCTGAAAGATGAAGGTTTTTTCAACTATTCTATTCCCACCTCCGCACACGGAGCTTGTTTTTCACAACCCAGAATAGACGAATCTGTGAGAAGTGAGCAAAGGGAAGGGAGATCTTGGGGTCTTGTGTTTCCCAACTTTTGGTTTTCTCGAAAGGCTCTTCTTTATAAAGAG